AGTGCAGCGTGAGTTGGGTACGCGGGTCGAGTTGAGCACAACATTTCATCCTCAGACGAACGGACAGTCCGAGCGTACTATTCAGATTTTGGAGGACATGCTCCGCGCCTGCATTATTGACTTTGGAGGTTCTTCGGATCAGTTCTTGCCGTTAGCGGAGTTTGCCTACAACAACAGCTATCAGTCGAGCATCCAAATGGCTCCCAATGAGGCATTATATGGTAGACGTGCCGATTGCCAATTGGGTGGTTTGAGCCGGGGGAGGCTCGGTTATTGGGTACAGATCTAGTGCAGGATGCCTTGGATAAGGTTAAGATCATTCAGGATAGACTTCGTTTAGCTCAGTCCAGGCAAAAGAGTTATGCCGACCGTAAGGTTCATGATGTGGCATTCATGGTCGGAGAGCGAGTGTTGCTTCGAGTGTCGCTCATGAAGGTCGTGATGAGATTTGGGAAGAAGGGCAAGCTAAGCCTTAGGTTCATCAGGACTTTTGAGATCCTTGATCGAGTGGGAGAAGTGGCTTACAGACTTGCGTTGCCGCCAGGTTTGTAAGCTGTGCATCCATTGTTTTATGTGTCCGTGCTTCGGAAGTATCATGGCGATCCATCCACGTGTTAGACTTCAGCACTGTCCAGTTGGACAAGGATTTGACCTACGAGGAGGAGCCGGTAGCTATTCTAGACCGGCAGGTTCGACAATTGAGATCGAAGAGTTACCCTTTGGTTCGTGTGTAGTGGAGAGGTCAGCCTATTGATGCAGCTGCCTGGGAGTCTGAGTCCAGTATGCGGAGCCGATATCTCCATCTTTCACCGACTCAGGTACTTTTCTATGTCCGTTCGAGGACGAACGGTTATTTTATAGGTGGAGAATGTGATTTTTTTGTTTTAGAATCCGACTCCGTGTTTCGAGGCCTTGAAAACCTCATTTTATCTCTCCTCAAATTGCATGCGCAGTCCGGGCGCGTATCCGGAAAGCCCTTATGTGAAAAACTTAAGAAAAGATGATTTTTGGCTTAAAAAGATAATTTTAGTTGACTTCGATCAATATATTGGGTAAACGGACTCGGACCCGTGTTCCGACGGTCCTGGAGGGTCCGTAGTATAATATGGGACCTGGCGTATGCTCGGAATCGAATTTCGAGGTCCCTAGCCCGTGAAATGAATTTTTGAAGAAAATTGATAAGACTGAAAATGCAATAATTTAAATAATTTGATCTTGTTGGTAACGGGCCCATATTTTGGTTCCGGAGCCCGATACAGGTCCGTTATAAAATTTAAACCTTATATGTGAAATTTGGTGAAAAACGGAAGTGATTCGACGTGATTCAGACCTTTGGTTGAGAAAATAGATAGTTTGAAACAATCTTGAAATTTCATGTGTTTTGGTGTTGAATTCATAGTTCTAGATGTTATTTTGGCGATTTGATCGCGCGAGCAAGTTCGTATGATGTTTTAAGACTTGTGTGCATGTTGAGTTTGGAGCCCCGAGGGCTCGGGTGAGTTTTGGATAGGCTACGGAGTGATTTTGGAACTTAGAGAATTGCTGTTTGTAACTGGTATCTGTTGCAGGCCTCTGATCTCGTAATTGCGAGATCAGGCTTTGCATTTGCAAGCAAAACAGGCATGGCAATTGCGAGGTCTTCATCGCAATTGTGAAGAAGGCCTGGGCCAGCAAGGTTCGCAAATGCGAACATATCTTCGCAATTGCGAAGATAGTCTGGGAAGGGGTGTGATCGCAAATGCGATCTTTTTGTCGCATTTGCGGAGGTCCCTGATCGCAATTGCGATCATTACCTTCGTAATTGCGAAGGCAGCAGAGGTGTGGGGAACCTCGCATTTGCGATGGTTCTTCGCATTTGCGAAGCTCTGGTCGCAAATGCGACATCTGCAACTGTGCAAAAAGGGACTTAGACGGGATTTTTGATTCATTTTCCAAATTTTCAAAACCTGAACTTCAAGAGGCGATTTTTCCAAAGACTAGTTCTTCCCCAAATCATAGGTAAATGATTCTTAACTCATTTTTTTCAATTTATTTCATCTTTTTACAAGATTTCATCCTAGAATCTAGGGTTTTCATGGTGGAATTGGGTGTTTTTGGGTAGAACTTAGGAATTTCAAAATTTAGGGATTTAGACCTCAAATTGAGGTCGGATTCCGAAACCAATTGTATATCCGGGCTCGGGGACGAATGGGTAATCGGGTTTTGATCCGAATTTCGGGTTTTGACCAAGCGGGTCTGTGGTCAATTTTTGACTTTTTGGGGAAAATGTTGGGAAATCTATAATTATGCATTGGAATTGGTTTCTTTAGCGTTTATTGATGTTATTAAGTTAATTATGGCTAGATACGAGTGGATTGGTGGTGGAGTCGAGAGGTAAAGCAGTATTTGAGCTGTGAATTACCCGTTGGCTTGAGGTAAGTGTTTGGTCTAACTTTGACTTGAGGGATTAGGGATCCCCGACTTGCTTGCTATGTGAAATACCATGTGTGTGGCGTATAGGTATGGTGCCGAGCACCTATGCGTCTCTAAATTACCTGTTTAGCCTGTTCCCTTTCCCCATTTCCCTGTATATTGCCTTCCTGTCTTAATTGCTACTTGCTTATTGATGCTTCCATGTCTAATTGCTTCTTGTTAAGTGTTGTTTCTCTATTAGTGTTGTTAATTGTTCCATAGTTCCATTATATCACATTGTTGGTTTATGTTGGTTTATTGGTGCTTCATGGTACACTTTGGTTGGTTTCGCTGTGTAGTTTTAACTGGTGAAGTTTCATAATTGTAGTGATATTTGATTGTGTTGATTTGAGGTATAAGTGTTGTGGAGGATTTGAGTTAACTTGTGAAACACTTGTCTTTATTTTGTGATTGGTGCTAATATATATAATGGGATCGGGTTGCACGCTGCAACAGGAGGAATACAGGTGAAATGTGATTGTCTGGTGGGATTGGGTTGCACGCCACAACAAGGAGTAATAAGGGTGGACAGGTGTGATCGGGTTGCACGCCGCAATAGGAGGAATAAGGGTGATATATTGAGGAGTAATAAGGGTGGACTGGTGGAATCGGGTTGCACGCCGCAACAAGGAGGAATAATAGTGAATATTTATACTGTTATTGATTATATGGTGGGATCGGGATGCGCGCCGCATCATTTGTTGTTTATGTATTCATATTCTGCTGAGGTTCATTATTGTGGTGTTGAAACTCCCTTAAGGATTGGTTATCGCTGAGTATTGGTAGCACGACCGGGTCCCGTATTTATTTAATTCAAGTTACTGCTATATTTCATTTTGTATTCCCTTTTTGCCTTACTATAAACTATTGCAGGTTATATATTGTTATGCCCCGCTGTAGCCTCGTCACTACTTCGTCGAGGTTAGGCTCGGCACTCTCCAGTACATGTGGTCGGTTATACTGATACCGCACTCTGCACTTTCTGTGTAGATTTCGGAGCTAGTGGCTGATCGAGATGTTGGTTGCTGTTACTGCATTCAGGAGACCTAAGGTAGTCCTGCAGGCGTCCGCAGGCCCTGGCGTCCTCTCCTATCTTTATTTCGTCTCTGTTTTACTTTCTTTGAGACAGATGTATTTTCTTTCAAACCATTACTTGTAGTATTCGTAGACTGTTCGTGAGTTGTGATACTAGTTTCTTGGGTGGTATCTACTTCTGTATTCGTTAATAGTATAAGGGTAATTAGTAAAATCATGTACTTCGCTTTTATTTCTGCAGATTTAGTTTGTTAAACTTTAATTATAAAAGGATAAAGGGAAAAGGTGAAATATTCTGTAACGTTGACTTGCCTAGTGAGTGCAATGTTAGGCGCCATCACGGTCCCGAAGGTGGGAAATTCGGGTCGTGACATTTTTAGTATGTTTATGTTTTACAAATATAATAAATAAAGCACAAGGTCAAACATTCTAAATATTGGACTATATTTACCAGCAAATATGTTGCACTTTCAATAGGGATATCATGATCTACAACAAGAGTTCTAGGTAAGGTAGAGCAACCAACGCATTAGGAGGAAATATACACAAAAAAAATATTGTCCATAATGAAGTGTTCGTTAAGATACCATCACATTAAATACTTTTAAACTATAATATATAACTATCTATCTAACATGACAAAATTGATCATTTATGTAAGTTTTGACGATGTCATTTTATTTTAAATTCATGTATTATGCTAATATAATAATATTTTTCGGCATTTAGATGATTGTTGTATTATTATACGTAAAATTTCTCTCATTAATTAAATTTTATTGTCCTTCATATTAATAAATTTTTAAATCATCACGTGTCATTATTAACGTACAACACACGTTCATAGATACTAGTTTATGTAAAAATCCTGCGAAGCTCTTTTCATTCTCCCCTTCTATTTCTGTTATTTTCAAAGAAGTTTTTATTTTAGACTTATTTTTTATTTCTTATTAACTTTATTCAGATGAATAAAGTTTATAACTCTCAGGACTTTTTTTCATAATTTAGGAAATTATAGCCACCATAATAAAAGGGGTCAATTGGTTTTTTGGTTCTTTATAAATTTGTTTTTAGTTTTATGACTCTAACTTTTTTTTTTTACACATAGAAGATTTACTTTTACACGTAAGAGATCAATTTTTTCCACGTGAGGGATCTAAAAAGATCATTTTTTAAATTTAAAATTGTAAAGGAGCATGATGTACAAACAACACAAAAGAGAGTATAAAGGATCGTAAGCTTGCAAACAACGAATTATTTTATTATTGTAGGGGAAAAGAAAGAAAGGAATACCATTAAATTTGTCAAAAACTGAAAATCAAACCAAACCACAACACTCTAATGGTAGATTGTACTTATGTAATTCAATGTTATTTTAATAATTTAAAATTAAATTAATTTGACTTTGATTTTAACCAAAAATCGATTAGAACACTATTATTCCTCTTTCCTCTTAAATAGAAGGAGGAAGAAAAATATGTTTTTTTTTTTGGTAAGAAAACATGCACCAAATTAGTTTTACGGGAATACCCTTCTCCATTTCACTACAGTCCACTTCATCAAGCTAGGGTTTTCTCCCTCCCCCCTCTCAGTCACTATACTCCCTCCTTCACTTTCGCGGAGAATTTCCAATTTGCAATCCGACAAAAAAATCAGAGGAAAAATGAGCACCGTCGTACCTACTTCAGAGGAAGATCCTGCTCTTTCCGTTGTTCGGTTCACCGCTCAGTTGTCATGGGCTGACGCTGGCCCAGAGGTAATCTCATCTAACACTCGAACTGTATTTGTGCTTGTGTCTGTGTCTGTTTTTTATTATTTAATGTTTATATACAAATTATTTAGCTTTTACATGACTCTCTCAAATAATTCACGTGCTGTAATGTAGTTTCATTACTTAAAAACCGATGCTTTAAACAATCTGGATTTCATTTACCAATGGTTAACTATTGTAATGCGGGTGGTACGGTAAATTTCTATGTGGAATTCTGTAGGGACAGATATTTGGTTGGGATTCTGAAGTTGTTGTAGTTAAATATTATTTGTTTTGAAGGGATTTATATGATATGTTGATAGGTTGCGGAGCCTCAGGTGAATAGATTGTGCGTCGAGACACAGGAATGCATGATTGAAGGAAGGTGGTTGGATTTGGCTTCGTTGATGCTCACTTCTGCAGATTTGGTTTTTTCGAAAGCTTCCGAGAAAGGTGAATTTCGCACTTCAAGTGATTTTCATAACCTATTATTAAAAGATGTAATTCGGAATAGTTTCTATGGGAATGGATGAGCGGTTGATGCTTAGGAGTATTTACCTGGAGATTTGAAGTTTAAATCTCAGCTACAACACTCAGTGTGAGCCCATCTACTCCAATCTTGGTGGGTCGATTTACTCGACATGTTTGCTTGTGTGCTGTAAGAAGCTGCAGTTGGATTAGGCAATGTGCAAACAATCTGGTCCAATACCACTGTCACTAAGAACAACAAGATATATAATCTGGGAGTTCTCCATAATTACACGGAAATCTCCAGAAGACAAGAGACAATATTGTTATATTTAATAAATTTGTGAGTCCAGTTATGTGATTATCTAGCACATACTGTAAAATTAGATGCATAGAACTCACATGTACAAGAAGCAGCTGTTTTTGTTGACTTATATCTTTCAGTAAATTGTTTAGAGGCGGCTTTCTTTTCTTCATCAATGTGAAGCAATCTCTGATTGTCTGGCATATTGAAACCATCCTTTCTGATGTTATGTTTTCTGAATTTTTTTGTTTGTTCTCTTAGTTATGTAGTTTGCTCTAATTGGCTTCTACTTCAGATCTCGAGTGCATTTTCACTATAATCTGCAACCTTGTCAAGAAGCCTGAGAGTTTGGACCAAGTTCATGAGATGGCAGAGCTCATATCAACTAAACTCTCTCAACAACCAAATGATAAGCCTGCATTGCGCATAAAACTGTAATATATCCTGAAGCTAATTACTTGACTTCCTGGAGTTTTCTTTATGGTGTCACATTACATTTTGTTCCTTCTCTCGTTTCAGCTTGTTCAATCTCTACAACCTGTTGGAGAATCCTTATAGCCGTTTCTTTGTATACATGAAGGCCCTTAATTTGTCCATTAGTGGAAAGGTCACTGAGCATGTCTTGCCATCTTTCAAAAAGATAGATAGCTTCTTGAAAGAATGGAACCTTGGAGTCAAGGATCAGAGGGAGCTCTTCCTTAAGATCTCAAACATTCTGAAAGAAGTCAAAGGGTAAGACTGAGGGACCTGTGTTTCCTGCAGCAATCTGAGCTTACAATTTTGTATTCTTGTCTGACTCCCGTTTATTTGCAGCTCTGCAAAAGAGTCCTTCAAGTTTCTGACAAAGTATTTGGAAACTTTCTCGGTTGAAGATGCTTATGCCATGAATGATGCAAAGGAAGAAGCTCTTCGTGCAATTATTGAATTTGTCAAGGCACCTAACATGTTTCAGGTATATCTATGTTCAACAGAATTCTGAATTCAAATTGCTTGAGTGGACAGGAGACTTTTCTTTTTTAAAATTTTATATGTAGACAATCTGCTGTGTTATTTAGACTCCAGATTGCCGAATGCCGCCTTTCGCATGCTCTAATTGCTATCGTGTATTGTTTTAGGCATCAGATATGTTCTATTGCTAGCATGTAATGATTTAGGTGCATTAGAATATGCTCTTGTATCGTATGCCATGGTTTCCTGTGTCCTCACAGTTGATCTGAGTGATTTGCAAGGTACTGGAATAAACATCCACCATCATACACAATGTGGCTTGATTTTACTATTTTAGATGAATTACTTTGAATTTTGCAATCTCTGAGCTATTAGGAGCTAATGAAAGCCTGTATCAAAATTTTTGGAGAGCAATTATGGAGTAGGTCGCCAACATGATCGCATTGAAGAAATATCAAAAATGAAAAAAGAAGGAAATAATTGAGGAGAGTGGCTTATTAAATCTGCACTTTTTTCTTTTGCCATTATTTACTCTTGGTTTTAATATGGCAGTGTGGCTTGCTAGATATGCCTGCTATAGTCCAATTGGAGAAAGATGCTAAATATGCTCTAGCGTATCAGCTTCTGAAGATCTTTCTCGCTGGGAGGCTCAATGATTACTTGGATTTCCAGGAGGCAAATTCTGAATTATTAAAAACCTATGGTCAGTTCTTGCCTTTCTGCTAATTGAAACTTTGGTGTATTTTATGTGAACCCTTAGGTTTTGGGATGCTGCTCTTGGCCTGATTCTGCTAGTTAATGTTGCAGGACTTCTCCATGAAGATTGTATAGCAAAGATGAGATTATTGACATTGGTAGCTCTTGGAATGACCGAATCCAGTCAAATTCCTTATTCCATTATCAGAGACACATTGCAGGTACTTTTTTATTGTATATATCTTGTAGTAATTTGTATTTGTGCTCCACATTTTGGTCGTTTCATTGGTCTTTTGCTCTTTGCAGATTGATGATACTGAGGTAGAATATTGGGTTGTTAAGGCAATTTCAGCTAAATTGCTCGACTGCAAGATAGATCAAATGAACCAAGCAATAATTGTGAGGTGTGCGTTCTGTGGTCCCCGTCCTTTATTACTTTTGCCTATGCTTTATTTGAAGAAGTTAGATCTAGTTAATTAAGGCTTTAATTGTTCTTCATTATTCATAGCTGTTTTTCCGTTCCTTTTGTATGGGGGTGTTGTGCAGCCGATGTATAGAGCGTGTATTTGGGACAGACCAGTGGCAATTGCTTCGAACACAGCTTGCAACCTGGAGGGTAAATCATATTCTTCTTAAACTCATTTTTTTAGTCAATCTGTGTTCCAAGCGCAAGCGTGGCTAGTTACCATGATTCCTTTTCCTTCTCTGCTGGAGCCCCTAGAAACGTATTGGTGCCAGCATATTTTTGTTGTCCTCCTACTTCATATTGCTAGATGTCCTTAACTTCCATTCTCATTTATATTGTGTCATTATGTGATGTTGACGGGTGTCAAATCTTTACAGGGAAATATTTCAGGGGTTATTAGTACAATTCATGCTAACAGGATAACTGAAGATACCACACAAACAATGCAAGGATTAGCGATCCGCTGAAGGTTGCTTATTTGTGGCAACTATTTTCTTTAAATATTTGGAGACTAGATTAATTGGTTCCCATGTAGAGCCAGCTCTTTGAAGTAGAAATTTTGACATCGGTTTCCTTCTGGGCAAAATTTTCCAAGAGTTTGTTAAGCTGTATTTGCTTTCTTTTCCTGTCGATTTTACAGAGATGTAATTCTATGAGATCATGATCAATTATACTTCGCCTGTTGATTCCGTATTTCCATGTCCAATGTTCACTTTGTAGGCACCCATGAATTCCATAATTGAGAACAAAGGTATCAAATGTATGTCTCCATTGACATGGAGAATTGGAGATGGGTAGGGCCAGGGTGGACATTGCTTGTTAACAGTCTCCTCGGACTTCTCATTTGAACTACGTATACATCCTAGATTTGCTCTGATGGAGCGTTCACGAGTGACAATGACGCTCAAAGTATCTGTCTTGGAAGCCTTCAGAAATATGATTAGTTCTGTACTTACTCATTTTTCCCTTTTCGCGGTCCGATACTGGAAAGAATAAAAAACTTACGAAAGAGTATGTTAGGCTTCAAACCTGTTAGGACAGATAAAGCTCTAGGCCAGCAGACCTTTGTGATAAGTTGCTAAAACAAGCGGGACTGTAAGGCCGACGTTATATGATAAGTTGCTTCCAATGAAAAATTCGGATAAATAGGTTTCTCTTCTCATTTGAAAAGGGAATTGACATTTGGTTCTCTACATTTTGTTTGTAGAAAATCAATCATGAGCTCTAAGTTCTAACTTCTAACAAGTGTTTTAAAAGGCGTAGGCATTAGGCAAGACATTTTATATATGTCTCAGCAAGGCATAAGCATAGAGGCACGAGGTGTAAGCCCCATGGTATTTTAGTTTTAATATTTTATAAAATAATATAATTATAGTAAATATTTATAAATAATTAAAATTGCATAAAAATTGGAGAAAATTATAAATATGTGAAAAATATGTATAGTTGCTTCATCCCCATAAAAATAAAACTAGTCAAAATAATTCATTATATGTTACTTACAAGAACAAGTAACTTGAGTTGAAAAGAATAAAGTTTTCTACATGGAAGAACAAAAATGATGACTGCAATTTGAACTCTGAACTTGCTGTTATGGAGGAGAATATAGTTCTTTTTGTCTTTGAAAAAATAAAATAAAATTGACTATTCCTTGCTTTTGGGAGATAGTAACAAACTAGCGGACAAGATAAAGAATTGGGAAAGACCATAAATTAGGGCTTCTAGTAATAAAAAAGGTCTTGACTTTTAAATTTAATGTTTCAATTCCTTTTTAAAACTTTTGAGTAATTACAAACTGACTTTTTAGAATTTAGGTAATATATTAAGGACTTATTCAACAAATTTTGTTTTAATTTGAAAAAGTCTATGGGGGAGCCTCAGTACAAAAAAGTGCCTCAATGCACGGGCGTATGCCTCTTGAGACTTTCGCCCCCACCATCGCCTCAGAACTTTTTTAATGCGCTTTGCCCCGAAAACGCCTTTTAAAACACTTCTTCTAACAGAACACCTAACGTTAAGCTTAGCTGATAGTGCATTGTTTGTATGCGGAAGAGCTTTTTGCGAAATTTAAAATGCAAAAAAGGACAAAAAGACAGGTAGAAAGTTTGTATCTTCTATAGTTTTTCTTTCCTCTAAGGGCTTCCCAAAAAAGCTTTATACTCATAGGAACAAGGCAGAATGGGGGTAATGAAATAAAGCTACGTATGCTGGTCTCTTAGCTGAAGCATGAACCCAACCCGTGTGTACGTACTCCCAAAATCCCTAGATGGATTTTGATATGGTTATGTTTCCAATATTTGCTCTACAAACACTAAATAAGTTAAATTGGCAATTAATAGGTCTACGTTTTTTTTTCTCTTCAATTTCTTGTTCAGTAATGTTGACATCTATAGTTGCTCCACGTATAACGATCCGACCAGCCGTTTTGCTTTCTAGATCCCCATTCCCCTACTAAGACTCTCCATATGTGCTTTTACTGTTTTATGACTTTCTGGGATGGTTAATTCGGTTTGAAAGGTTTCGGGTGGAAATCGGAGTACTTAATTCCTTAATAATGGCTTAAAATGGTTAAGTTTGACTTGAGTCAACGTTTTGAGTGAACAACCTCGGAACTGGGATTTGACAGTCCCAATAGGTTCGTATGATATTTTAGACTTGGAAGTATGTTCGGATCGGGTTTCGAATAACTCGGAAGCGTTTGGGCGCTTAATATTGAAAGTTGACGCATTGAAGGTTTTCAAGTTCTTTAAGTTTGGGTTGGAGTAGATTTTGGTGTTATCGAGGTCCGTTGGAGATTTCGAGCCAGGGAATAGTTCCATATGGTGATTTAAGGCTTGCACTAAATTTGGTGTCATTCCGAGTAGGCTAAGCATGATTCGGCGCGTTCGGAGCAAGTTGAAAGCTTGAAGTATATAATTTGATTCAGATTGGTTTTGGGGTGCGATTCTTAGTTTTGATGTTGTTTTACGTGTTTTCGGAGTTCGAGCAGATCTGTGTTATGGTTATGGACTTGTTGGTGTATTTGGACGGGATCCCGGGTGGCTCAGGTGAGTTTCGGACCGCCCGGAGCTAAGTCCCAAAAATCTGGTGTGCTGGTTCTGGTTTCCTTCTTCGCGATTGCGAGGCTGTGTCGCGTTCGAGAAGAAGAAAATATGAGGGGCTGAGATTTGCTCTATGCGCTGGCGACCCCTTGCCCGCGTTCGCGAAGGCCTGGGACCTGTGGCCTTCACGTTCGCATGAAAGGGCCAGCGTTCGTGTAGGGAGAAAGGACTGGGGGTGTGAGCTCGTTCCTCTTTGCGTTCGCGAGCTGGACCACGCATTCGCGAAGCTCAGGCTTGTCAGACTTCACGTTCGCGTGTGAGTCCTCGCGTTCGCGATGACCTTTTTCCTGGGCCTGGGCAGCTTGCCTTCGCGATCTTGATGGCTTTTCCGTGATCGTGAAAAAGAAATGCCTGGGCAATGTGTTTTAAAAACGGGGACTTAGGCTCATTTTCTTTATTTCTCTCATTTGTTGGTTGAATTTAGAGATTTTTGAAGAGGGGTTTTCACCTAGAACTTTGAGGTAAGTAATTTCTATACAATATGAGTTTAAATCACGCATTATAGTGTAATGATCCGGCCGGTCGTTTTGAGAGTATTAGCCCTGAACCCCTATTTACGCTCCCTCTATTTCATTTTATGGTTGTGTGACTTGTCGGGAGGATTTGTTTTTGGTTTAGGAGTGAAATGGGACACTTAGTCCCTAAAACGGAAGCTTAAGTTCTAGGAATTTGACAGTAGTTTGAATTGTATGAAAACGACTCCGGAATGGAGTTCGATGGTTTCACTAGCTCCGTAGGGTGATTTTGGTCTTAGAAGCGTGTCCGGATGTTGATTTGGAGGTCCGTAGGTCATTTCGACGTTAATTGGCGAAAGTCGGAAAGTTAGGTGATTTTTGGAAAGTTTGACTGGGGTGGACTTTTTGATATCGGGGTCGGATTCCGATTCCGAAAGTTGGAACAGGTTCGTAATGTCATTTATGACTTGTATGCAAAATTTGAGGTCAATCGGACTTGATTTGATAGGTTTGGGCATCAGATGTATAAGTTTGAAGTTCTAAAGTTCATTAAGCTTGAATTGGGGTGCAATTCGTGTTTTTAGCGTTGTTTGATGTGATTTGAAGGATCGACTAAGTTCGTATGATGTTTTAGGACTTGTTGGTATTTTTGGTTGAGGTCCCGGGGGCCTTGGGTGTGATTCAGATCATTTTTGGACTATTTTTGGACTTAGAGGAATGGCTGACGCTGGGCTGTTTCTGGTGTCATCGCACCTGTGGTGGGATTGGCCGCAGGTGCGGACTCGCATAAGCGAGGTTTGGATAGCAGATGCGAAATTGGCTTAACCCAGTTGGGATCGCAGGTGCGAGGTCCTGACCGCATCTGCGGGCCCGCAGATGCGAAAGGTTGGTCGCAGGTGCGACATTGGCCAGGAAGGCCCGGGAACGCAGAAGCGGGTACCGTCCGCAGAAGTGAGGGCGCAAAAGCGCATTTTTAGTCCGCAGTAGCGGAATTTTTGACTTAAGCTAGGACCGCACCTGCGATGGTTTTTCCGCAGGTGCGGCTTCGCTGATGCGACTCAGAGACCGCAGATGCGGATTCACTAGGCAGAAAAGGGAAAAAAATGAGGGTTTCATCTCATTTTCATTTTGGGACTTAGAGAGCTCGGATTGAGGCAAAAATTTGAGGGATTTTAAGAGGAAATGTTTAGGTAAGGATTCTTGACTCATTTTTGATTATATTTCACTGATCTATCATTAATTTCTTTGTTTAATTAAGGATTTGGGTTGTAAAATTAGGGGATAAAGGTGTGAGGTTCTTAGTTCGAATTTTGAGGTTTTGATCGAGATTTTGGTATCGAATTTGAGTATTTTTGGTATGGGTGGACTCGTGGTCGAATGGGTGTTCGTATTTTGTGACTTTTACTCGATTCCGAGACGTAGGCCTGTGTCGACTTTTTGGGATGATTTTCTAATTTCTTATTAAAGACATGATTTCTTTATTTAGATTAGTTCTCTATAGTTATATTTGTAGTATGTAATTGCTTTTGAATAGATTTGTGCCATTCGGAGTAGGAAAATTGAGGGAAAGACGTTCTTATTGACTGGTTGAGCTTGATTTGAGGTAAGTGACTTGTCTAACCTTGTGTGAGGGAAATTCCACTTAGGTTTTGGTACTGTTATGGTATTTGAAATACGTGAAGACTGTGTACGCGAGGTGACGAGTGCGTACTTGGGTTAAATGTTGAAAAAACCGGTTCTTGTTGAGTAGTCTTCTTTTAATTCCTTAACTGAGTTGCCTTAGCATGTGTAGTTATCATGTTTATCCTAATATCGCATGTCTACGTGTTTTAATCCTTACTTGCAAACTGTGCAACATGCTTAGTTGAATTTCAGTTTTCCTTGATTTTGTATTCAGTCTTTAATTATAGAATTCCTTGTTGTAAATTCGTTGTTCCATCGGTTACGAGTTGTGTATTTACTTTTCGGACTACAAGGCGGTACCTCGGGAGCTCCCCTATTGCCTATTTACTTTTGGGACTACGATGAGGTACATCGGGAGCTCCCCTGTTGCATATTTACTTTTGGGATTATGATACGGTACCTCAGAAGCTCCCTTGTTGTGTATTTACTTTTGCGACTACGAGCGGTACCTCGGGAGC